AATGAGATGCTAGCTGATCTCATGATGGCTTATTTCATTAGACATGCATTACGCTTACTTTTTCCTTAAACAAAATATTTATTGTAAAGTTCTCAAACCAAGTTAGGTGGAGCAAAAGAAGGAAGAAAGTAATTTCTTTTTACAGACTCCTAGAGTTCAACACAGCATGTACACACCTTGACATGTATGGCCCATTTAAAAAAATATACATCACAGGCAATTAAAGACAAAATACACCTGCCTTGTGAAATGCACATTTTCACATTGCCAACATCAAGTCCCCAAATGCATCCAGCAGATGGTGCTCTAGGACACCTACTTACGGAGACTCATAACGTTTTTGTTACATCCACCGATTTTTGGCAAGACAAAGAATAAGGGTTTATCAGTAGCTTCAGTAAAGCATATTGGGCTTTACGATAAAAAAGTCATAATTCCTAAATATGTGCACAAAAATATACATATGCATAAGCACATGTGTACAGAGGCAACCAGTAAATAATCTATACCTGGACCTACGATGATCCCATTCTCCTTACAGACTTGATGAGTAGTCTGTGTGTATATCAGTGGTATTTATGGTCACATGGCAAGATCATTCTAAATTCATTAAAAAAAAAAAATTTAGAATGCCTTAAAGTTAGAATTCATTTTTAATTATAGCAGGAATGTCTCATTAGGGTGATACTAGTAAAATTAACAACAGTAGGATTTACGGTAATGACTTAAGTGATTGATGAGAGTAAAGCAAAATGAAGTTTTAGACAGAGAAAAAACAGGGCAGCTATGGCATACAGTACTTTAAAAACAGCTCTGTGGTCTGTTAGTGCTAGCCTTATGGTTAATAAAACCTTCTTTCTAATTAATGGTGCTGAAATATTCTTAAGGAACAGAATCTTGTTGCTAAGAAAAAAACTTAAATAGTTGTTTTTTGTGTGTTTTTCCCCCCAAGTAGACGCCAATCCCATAAAGAAAAAAGCTGACCTAGATTACCATGTCTGATTGCAAAGACAGGAAAAAAAAAAAAAAAAAATGCCACCTTTCAATCAAATCAAAACCAGAATGTGAGAATGGAAAACTACTTTGTTGAAATACTACACATACAAATCCATGCAACACCCTCATAGTCAGCAGCTGTTTGCTTCTAAAGCTCATCATCTGGACTTGAAAAAAAAAGACCAGTACACTTATAACCGTCTAATCTTTAAAATCTCATTAATGTTATAATATTAAAAAATATATAGAATAAATAATAACTATTTGGACCTTCTCATCTTGCTCATATAAAATGGTAACTGCAAAGTTTAAAATATTTCCAGATCAATTAAATGCATTGGGGAACAGTTTCTTCCCCCCCCCTCCCCAAATTGGCAATGTGCAGTCTGGACAGCATTACGGGTATTTGAAGGGAAAATGCGTATCTCAGGCAAAGCTTTTTGGCGGGCAGGAGTCAGTTCTAAAACACAAAGAGCAGTAAGACAAGAGAGAGGTATTGCCTCCACGGAGAAAACATTCTTCACCGAAATGTTCTTGGGTAATTTTATGAAACACATCCACAAATAAATGGGATCCTATTTTAAATGTTCTTCTCATTGAGAAAATTACTTTATTCCACAGAAGATAACTATCACAAGACAATAGAGTCAAAGATGAAAGCTATCTGTTATATAAGAAAAGAAGGCTTTGCCATGTAATGTAGGCAGATTTCATAAACACTGGTGTCCTTTTTAAAAAAGCCTCAAATTAAGCCATACCTAGGCTCTACCCAATTTAAATTAGTCTGATTTTTGTCTAAGCAATATGGATCTGACTACTGGATAACATTTTTAAAGCAGACACAAAGCGATCAATTTTACATAGAGCACCAGTACTGAAGAAAAAGGTTTTAAGTTTATGGCCCTATTAAGTAAAATTACTGGCTCATTCTCCTGATTTTTGAAACAAAATAACTAAATACCTAAATGAGACAAACAGAGTCAGAAAATGCCTTAGCCTAGTTTTCTTTCATATACATATTTTCACATAGAGAAAAAAAACAAACAAACCCTAAATTCAAAGATCTAAGTTGAGGCATTTTATGCAGTTACAGACCATAATGTAATTATATATGTAGAAATGCCTCATAAAGGTCACTTATATTGTACCCAACAGAGGAACGTGGAATTAAGCTTAACCTATAGCCCCTCATCTGAGAAGCTCGGACTTCAATGGCTGCATCGTGGAGTCATCAAGGAGCCAGAGCCTGTATAACCCGAACTAGCTTGCATGAATATTTCCAACACAGTTTGCACACAGTAAAAAAAAAAAAGTCTTCGTTTTTGTTTGCTTGGTATTTTATTTAGCTACGCTTAGTCTGGCTTGTTCATTTTCCTATTCTAATGTCTGTTAAGTTCTCATCACATGAAAAAGTGCCTATTTGTCTTTCTCCCAGATTCATCCTTCAAAGATAAAGCAAAATTAAATTGGGATATCAGACATTATAAAAGGGCCAGAAAGGAGTAAGGATCACTTTGGGAAAGGTAATTACATTTAGTCAAGATGCATTACAATTTTCTAAAATTTTATTAGATGTGCTGTTATGTTAATCTTCTATTTTTTTTTTTTTTTCCTTTTCATTGCTGGCATTAGTAGGAATTAATATCCAGCATCCTACAGACAATGAGAGGGTACAGATGAATTGCTGTATAAAAAATATAATGTAATAATATATACTCTAATGCCAACAAAATGGTGTTTGCGTGTGATTTATTTGCTCAAAGCATACTGTGCTTCTGATAACACCTTGAGTCACTTACTATTGTTGCTTTCATTTTTTAGACAAGACAGTGAAGCATAGAACTAGATTATCTTTACTCTAAACCCCAGGATTTGGTCAGTACTAACAATATTGCTTCATTTTTTAGAAGACACATGCAAAAACCATCCCTGAAAAAATTTATAAGCTCAATATGTACACACACAACACACACACCATATTTCTACAACTGGAAAAGCTTAAAAATTCTAAACTGAAACTGAAATTTCTGAACTGCAACAGCAATTGAATACAAGCATAGCTAATATGCTTTTAGCTAGTTCTCAGAGTACACATTAGTAATGCCTACGTATAGCTGTAAAACATGATTGGGCCAACAAATATAAAAAGAAAAAAAATCTATTTTTCCCCCTTGTTTGGAGCACCACAGGTGCATGAGACATCTTACAGTATTTATAGACGAGATTTTTTTTACCAAAAAAAAAAAAAAAATCAGTGTCTAAGAAACTTTGTTCCTAAATATTTTGAGATTAAATAACAAAATGGTAGCTTTATTATGTATGTCAAATATGGGTTTGCCTGAGATAGTTCAATGAATCTCAGTAACTGGGTTCACTGAAACAGTAAAAAATAAATCATAAAAGGTGAGAAAGGAAGAAGGGCTAGAATGTAAGCTCTGGTAGTGTAGTGGTTACGAATCAGGCTGCTAATCTCATGGTCAGCAGTTCGAAACTACCAGCTGTTCTGCGGGAGAAAGATGAAGCTTTCTGCTCCCGTAAAGATTTACAGCCTCAGAAATCCTGTACAGGGTTGCTGAGTCGGAACCAACTCCACTGCACACAACAACAATAAAAACATACAGTTCTTTTCAAAAGACTGCTAAAAAGAAAATCTCTGAAGTTCACATCTTTTGAATTTTTATTATAATTACACTTACATACTCAGACATGAATAATTGTATGAAACCATCACACACACTGAAATTTGAACTGATGACAAAGACCATCTTATACGTAGCATTAAAACCTTAGAGTTTCCATATTCTGTTTGAATTGGGAATGACCCATTTTGATTAAAAAAATATAAATTAGATGTTCATTGACTAAAAATGTTGTTTACCCCACCACACTAAGTAAAGTCTATTATACACGTAATAAAGCAGAAACAGCTTTGAAAAATACTTTGCATATAATTCCTTAAAAATTGTACTAGCATTTAAGTAAATTAAAGTTTCACTTTCATACAAATATTAAACATTATGCTTAGCTTTAAAATATCGATCCAAAATATGATGGACTTAAACATATTGAACTGTTTGGTTAAGTTAAGGCTGAGTGAAGTCCTATAGTATTCAGGTAAAGTAATCAGGAACAGCATGGTCCTTCCCTAACTAAACACAATGCAACTTGCTTTAAATTAAGAAACTGTAAATATTTAAGGGCAGTTAAAATATTCTACTTATGAAGTAAAAATCTAAAGTTATTATTGTAAGAATTTTCAGTGCTGTCATAATCATTTTAATTAAATTCTAATTTTTCAGGTGGTCCCTTTAATTGTTTTTTTCGTACTTCTTAATGTGTTTTTCTAAAGTCATTTCTTTTCTGCAGCTGTGTGCGATTGGTTTTAATGGTAGCTGCTTCCTTTTTTGCCTTCTGTGAATTACAATTTTAAATGGTTACACATTTTTTGTTTTACTGCCTTCAACATAGTTTCATAAAGATGTTTAAGGCTGTTGGTGAACATTTTCATTTCCCATCTGAAAAACCAAGAGCCAATTTGAATATTCTATATTAGCCTTTTATGACCTGTTTTATCTTTTAATATGGAGATGAAAGCATATTTTTGTAAAGACTAGTTTCCACAAAATCATAATTTTTAGTCTGTGCCTTTAAAAATATGAATTCAATAAATAAGATAATATGCGATTGCTCTTTTGCATTATAGCTGATTGTTCATGAATGAAACACCTTTATTTTTTTTTGAAAACAGTCACTTCCAATGAAAAACTACCATTTTCAGATTATAAGCAAAACCTGTAATATGAAAAATGAGATTTCATGCTCGGATTTTAATTATCAATGGTCAACAACAAGGCTACGTAGACCTGTCCTAAGTTATAGCTAAGATTAAAAAATACTTGCTAGTTCTGCTTCACTCTCACTATTATGCAAAAGATAACTTCCATGCAAATGTTATTATTACCTGCCACTTGTAAACATTTACTTACAAAGTAAATTGTACTTACTGCCGGGGTTATCTCCAATCCCATTGCTCTTTCCATTCCAGTACCACAGTAGAAGGGTTGCATCACGTGATCCTGAGAGAATGTAGCAATTTCCCCCAATGTATGACTCAGAACGGGTGAGGCAAGTGACAACATCCCAATGGCCAAATACCACTTGGATCAGTTTTCCTGTAACATAAAACATTTCATTTAAAATTGCTATTTAAAAAAAAACACAACAAAAAACTAATTACCAGTGACCAGATAATTTACAAGAAGATAAGGCCAGATTAACTATGATTTTCATCATTCAGAATTTACAATAATTTGGCCTGATCAAACCTAAAAATTTCTTTAAATTCTAAAAAGAATAAAAGATCAATTGAACTGTGAGAATAAACTTTTTGAAAGGCCTATGTTAAACAAATACTATTTAAAAGGATAGTATTTGAGGACCATAACATTATGTAGGTACAAATCGTTGTCATCGTGATGTGCCATGGAGTCAGTTCTGACTCATAGCAATCCTGTACAGGGTTTCCGATGCTGTAAATCTTTACGGGAGTAGAAAGCCTCATCTTTCTCCCGTGGAACAGCTGGTAGTTTCGAATTGCTGACGTTAAGGTTCACAGCCCGATGCGTAACCACTATGCTACCAGAGCTCCTTGCAGGTACATATGCATCCTACAAATTACAATCCAATTATGCCAACTGAATAAATAGCAGGCCCTGAATGATGTTTATTGGGCACCACTTTTACAATTTCTTGAGTATGACTCAAAAGAAACCGAAAACTGATTGCCTTTTGATAGAGTACTCTATAATTTAGACTTCACTGAAGCAAACCCAACTCTCAATTTGTTGTTGTTGCTAAGTGCTGTCGAGTTGATTCCGACTCACAGTGACCCTGTATCTAGGCTTTGTAAGGTTGTAAATCTTTGCACTGCAGAGAACCTCTCTTTTCTCCCATGGAGGGGCTGGTGCTCTTGAATTCTGACTCATAGTGACCTTTTGGTTAGAAAGTTCTTATTCTTGTGGTTAACAAAATGCTTATCCTATAGCACCACACCAGGACCCCATCTCTGAATTAGTGAAGATCAAAGCATTTCATTATTTTTTAAGTTATCCTTATAAGGAAACCTGGTGGAACAATGGGGAAGTTCTTGGGTGCTAACTGAAAGGCTGGTGGCTCCTCAGGAAGAAGACCGTAAGTACCATAACCATGCAAACCCTAGGAGGCAGTTCTACTCTGTCACATGGGCCCATTGAGTCCAAAAATTCAACAGTATTCAACAGACCAAGACAATTCAAGTCATTTTGGAGGGTTTCTCCATTTTCGAATCAGGATTACATGAACTAAGATTTTATAAAAGAACTAATTTATTGTAATTACAATTTGAGTCAGGTCATTCTTTCTTTGTTTTAACTGTCTCAGTGATGGACATTCCCTGGGATGGGTGCTGCTGAAATCAAGGTGAAGGCAGTTTAGTTTATACGACTAGGGCTAGAGTGCAGAGGGGAAGATCCTAGGTGTACTTACTATGTATGGGACCTCAAACACAGGAAGAAATGCTCACAAAGTATTAAGAAAAAAGTAAAACCCTCACCTTTCAGAATCTTTGTTTACAGATAGACTGTTTATAATTTACAGACTTTTGTAAGGAATTAGGTATCTGTAATGGCCCATCTATTGCATCCCTATAGTTTCCAGCTTACATTTTCCTTTGAAATGAATGTTGACAGAACACACATGTGAATATGTCTCAGAATGGCTATCCTTAACATTCAGCATAAAGTTATTTTAAAAAAGAGTGCAGTGGGGTCATTAAAGTACCATTTTAAGAAACAAAAAGACTGCCAAGCTGAAAACAAAATTACAACACCTTAACAAATTATATGCTTAACTTGGAACATATTCTAACCACTTGCTCTCCAGTCAATTCTGACTCATGGTGATACCATGTGTGTCAGAGTAGAACTTGCTTCATTCAGTTTTCAGTGGCTGAGTTTTCAGTCATAAATGGCCTGGCCTTTCTTCCAAGGTGTTTCTAGGTAAACCTGATTTGTAATCTTTCAGTTAGCAGCTCATCAAGTTAACCACGTGCACTGTCCACATACTCCTAGTGTATTCTAAAGTCAAGGTCTCAATTAAATTTTGGTGTCTAAGAATACATAAAACTAAGGAAGTATCTTTTTCTTAATTCTCGATTTTTATAAATCCAATAAAGGCTTATTAGGCTAACATTTGCAAATTTAGAAATAAAATATTGAAATATACTTTGTGAAAATCAGGTGGAAAATCAAATACAGTGTTATCATTGATGGGTGCCAGTCTTACACATTGTAGAAAAAGCACTGGACCACAAGCTTGCTTTGAACCTTGGAAACCCTATACAGGGTTGCTATGAATTGGAATTGACTCAATGGCACTTAGCAACAAGAAGAAGTAGCTGTTAGGAGTCTTGATGTAGCACTGTAGGATAAGCTTGAAAACACTTTAAGTAGTTGTAAAATCAGATTCAATTAAATTTCAAATTGCTAAATCAATCAATTTTTCTTCTTTGATTAGGAGGGAGAAAAGCAATCAAAGGAGGTGTTTTTACTGTTAAATGTTCAAAATGTTCACCATTTAAAATGTGTTGATACATGGCATTTAAAAATTCTTGTATCAAATTAAGAGTATGGTAAGATGAATTCAAGACATTCAATAAAAATTGGACAAGAAAAAAATTCAAATTAATTAGGAAAAAATATACTAACGTTCACTCATCCAATTTATACAAAGGAGAAAATGGAGAAGTTTCTTGGTGAAAATGAATCCCTGAGTAGTACGAACAGTTAAGCAATGACTACTAACTGGAAGGTTGGTGGTTTGAACCCAGCTAAAGGTGTTTCAGAAGAAAGGCCTGCTGATCGACTTCCAAAAAATTAGCCACAAAAACCCAAGGGGCACAGTTCTACTCTGACACACACAGGATGTGTCCATGAGTTTGGGTTGGTATGGTGCTGTAGGCTAAGCGCAGGACCACATGATTAGTGGCTCAGACTTATAAGTAGCTCCTTGGAAACCCTATACTGGGTTGCTATGGGTCAGAACCAACTCAATGGCACTTAACAACAACAACAAACCTAAGGAGCACAGTTCTACTCTGACGCACATAGGGTCTCCATGAATTGGGACTGACGCGATAGTAACTGATAGATTAGAGGCAGACCTTACACAGAGGATAAGGCCAAATTTAGAAACCTGAACATACAATTATTAATAATTATAAAACTAAAGGTCAAATCTGTACTTAGCTACTGAAATAATTTTTTTTTTTAAACTTTTTATTGTGAATTAAGTGACGGCTTACAGAGCAGATCAATTTTACATTCAACACATCATATTGTTTCATAACAATGATTGTAATCTCTTCCATATACAATCAATTAACAGTATTTGCCTCTACTCACATTAACTCTTCCTCCCTATCTTGCAGTACCTTCATCTTTCCTCTCCCAATCTCCCTCTTGTTGTATACTACCTACCCCATCACGTGTCTACCCGTTGTCGTTGCTGTTAAGGGTCATGGAGTCAGTTTTGACTCATAACAACCCTGTACAGGGTTTTTGAGGAGCAGCTGGTGGCTTTGAACTGCCAACCTTGTGTTTAGCAGTCCAGTGCTTACTCTACAGCATCACACCAGGACTCCCTCTAGTCAGTGAATAATTACCCCACTCCAGCCACTGTAACCATTATAGAACGCCTTTTATCAAGAAAATATTCTTTAAATTTTTTATAACAGTAGTCTCATACAGTATTTGTCCTTTTGTGATTAACAACTGCACTCAGTATAATGTCCTCCAGCTTCTTTCTTGTTGTGAAGTGTTTTGCATATTAATCATTATTCTTTAGTGTTGTTGCACAGTATTCCATTGTGTATATGTACCAAAGTTTGTTTAACCATTTTTTTGGTAACAGTGTACTCGTTGTTGTTGGTAAGTGGTGCTGAATAAGTTCTGACTCATAGTGCCCAGTCCTGGGCCATTCTCACAATTGCTTTTACGTTTGAGCCTGTTACTGCTGCCACTGTACCAATCCAGCTCATTGTGAGTCTTCCTATTTTTTGCTGACCTTCCACTTTACCAAGCATGATACCCTTCTCCAGGGACTGGTCCCTCCTGATAGCACACACTTCCAAAGTACGAGAAAGGAAGTCTCGCCATCCTGGCTTCTAAGGAACATTCTGACTGTACTTGTTCCATCACACATTTGTTTGGTCTTCTGGAAGTCCATGGTACTTTTCTCTAATACCATAATTCAAATGAATCAATTATTTTACAGGCTTTCCTATTCATTGTCCAACTCACACTTGCATACGAGGTTACTGACATTACCATGGCTTGTGTTAGGTACATCTTAGTCCTCAAACTGGCATCTTTGCTCTTGAACACTTTAAAGAGGTCTTGTGCAGCAGATTTGCCCAATGCAATACATCTTTTGATTTCTTGACTGCTGCTTCCATGAGTGTTAATAGTGGATCCCAGCAAAACAAAGTACATTTATTATAATGTATTTTAATACATGTCAAGTGAGAGGAAGTGAGGTGAATATCATAGGCATTGTGACATAGTGTTGGGCTACTATTTTTGGACTATAGTAGACCATTGTTGTTTCTGTTAAGTGCCATCATGTCGGTTCCAACTCACAGAGACCCTGTATAGCATTTCTGAGGAGTGGTTAGTGAATTTGAACCATTAACCTTGTGGTTCAAACTGACCTTGCAGTTGACTGCTTATTCTAAAGCACTACAACAGGACTGTAGGTAACTGAAAACAAGGAAAGCAAAACTAAGGAAGTGGTGGGGGGAGTACTTAGTGTATCTCTGCATCATGTCTATATGTGTGCTATTAGGTAGGGCTGCTCTTTAGAGTAGAACTACTCCCATAGGGTTTTCTAGATAATGATCTTTATGGAAGCAGATTGCTAAGTCTTTCTCATGTAGAGCAGCTGGGTGGGCTAGAACCCCCAACCTTTTGGCTAGCAGAGGGGTGCTTAACCATTGCATCACTTTATCTATACTATAATTGAATATTCGGGAAATGTATAGTCAATCACTAGTTTCTTCCTAAACTAAAATTTCCTATTGTTTAAATTTTTGCCCAGAATGTTATCACAATGCGTCTTCATTCAACCAACATTACTGGTCTCCTACAAGGACTTCAAGGACTAGGCCTTCTTAGAGTTCCTGATAGTGGAGCACTGAACTACTAACCCAAAAGTTGGAAGTTCAAATCCACACAGTGTTATCTCACAAGAGAGGACTGTGACCTTTTCCTGAAAGAGCACAACCTTGAAAACCCTGTGAAGCAGTATTGCTCTGTTCACGTGGGGTGGTCATAAACTGGAATTGGCTTCATGGTAACTAATAACAACAACAGCACTATGTACACAGTGGTGAACAAATATGATAACTAGTATTTAGGTTTCAATCAGTGAGAATAAGAAGATAGAACATATTTAGACGAGGTGTCAGTGAAGTGACGTGTAAGCAGTTACATCTAAAGGATTTCCTATTTTAATACAGACTGACTTATTCTCTACAATTTCTACTTTGGGCTCACTGCTGAAAAACACTGTAGTTTTAAGTTTACTTTTCCCTATCCTGGCAGCCTTCTTCAGCAATATTTGTTATTGCTGTGAGGCTGAGGTCCAGGTTCACTAGTCCTAAATAAATCACCACACATAAATACCTGCTGCTCTTTTTGGTAAATTATTTTCTGATAATCTCATAAGTGTTCCTCAACCTTTATTTTTTTGTTTCTGTGAGTACCAGTCCACCTCTCCACACACTAATATCAAATATTACCACAAGCACTAGAATATCCCTTTTTTGACAGAACAAATTTTCTAGTTAATGTTTTATTTGACAGCTGTGCGACAAATAAAAAAAACTCAAGCTCAAGACTCTGCACCACTGAATCTAAAATGTGGCCTGAAAATAATTCCTTCTGCCGGGGGAAGGTTTTATTGTTGCCTCTGCTGTTCTGGTTGTGCCCAGAAAACATGATTTATGTTTAAAGAATTTCCTGTTACAACCTGCATTACCTCCCTGCCTCCCCATACCAATCTAATAAGAGGAATTTTTTTTTTTTTTTGGCTTAAGTGCTAAAATATAATTGAATTCAACACTTGTGATAGCTTCGCTATTACATATTACTGATCAGTTTGGTTTTTTCCATTCCTTCTCTGCCAAACTTAGAAAATATTTAATGTTTTTATTGTTAAAACAACAAACACATATTTATCCTAATTGCAATTATTTTAGATAAAACTAGTATCAAAATTACTTTGTACACAAGATATCATGGAAGAGGCTATGAATCTAATTTCAGATTTCTGTGTATTCTGCAAATTAAGTCAGCCCCATTGGAATGAGATTTAAGCTGCTCCTTATGAAAATGTTTTTCACATAAACACACACAAACTTTCAAAAACAGAAGCTGATTTTAGGGAAGAGGAGAAGGAATGGTATCCAGTACATGTAGTCTAATGTCCATGGCAGACGTACTAGGGACTTGTTCAAAATTAGGGTTTTATAAATTAACTAATGATTGACTGATAGTACCGGCATAAGATAGTGTGGTATAAGCACAAGGATGCTATGTTGGACGTCAGAAGACCTAGGTCCAAGCCCCAGTTCTTGCAATGCTAGTTATATAAATTTCAACTAGTTATTTAAATGATCTAAATCTCAGCAACATCTTATGAAAAATAGATGCCTACTCTGTCTATTTATTGTGAAGCTGAAACAGTACCTTGTTTGCAAAAAGTTTGTAAATTCTAAAGACTGTGTGAAGGTGTAAGACCTCTTTAAAGAGTTCAAGAACAAAGACATTAGTTTGAGAACTAAGGTGTGCCTGAACCAAGCCATGGTATTTTCAACAGTCTCATATGTATGCGAAAGTTGGGCAATGAATAAGGAAGACCGTAGAAAAATTCATGCATTTGAGTTATGGTGCTGGAGCAGACTATTAAAACTACCACGGACCACTAAAAGAACAAACACATCTGTGATGGAAGAATTAAAACCAGAATGTTCCTTAGAAGCCAAGATGGCCACACTTCATCGCTCATACTTTATAGACATATTATCAGGAGGGACCAGTCCCTGGAGAAGGGCGTCATGCTTGGTAAAGTGGAGGGTCAGTGAAAAAGAGGAAGACCTCCTCCCAACAAGATGGACTGGCACAGTGGCAGCAGCAATTGTGAGGTTGGCACAGGACTGGGCAGTAGTATGTTGTGTTGTGCATAGGGTTGCTATAAGCTGGTACCAACTCAAAGGCACCAAACAACAACAACAAATGCAAATGTAAGAATTTAAAAAATAATGTTAAGATTAACATTATACAGAGGTGAAGTATGTTTATATTAACTTTACAAATATCAATAGTCAATGCTTTTTTAAAAGACATGCTAATTTGGGTGAATGGGGATATTTTTAAAATAAATAAAAATTCTTAAAAAGGAAATGACAATAAACTTGACCTATACTTATGGATGTAATAGCTCAAAATACCAACTGAGAAGAAAGGAGTCTTCATATCAACTATCAATCCTATCCCCTCTGTATACAGGGTTGATAGGATGGGCTACTTAGACACTGGCTACCTAACATGGGAGGCTATAAAGGCATGAAGTGACTGGCTTACAAGTTTTTGAGAGGGGATTTAGTTTCAGAGTGTGCAAGGGAAGATAGAGTCCCCACTGAATAGTTTTCGTCTTGTCTAGCCAGGTCTGGTGAAAAGACATGGGGATAAGATTCTTATGATTCAATAGTGAATAATTATTATCATGACTAATTGTTTACTGTCACAACTATAAAGGTAGAAGTTTTGTAACAAAAAGAGGGGAGCAGTTAATCTTATAGTCTAGTAACAGAGGACCCTAGGACCATCAAGGGAGAAGAGCATGAGTGGAATGTGGGACCCTATCCAGAGAGGCAGTGACACCAGAGAGGGAAGCAAGGATGAGGACATGGAGAGACAAAGCAGCTGAGGACTCTAGACTCCTGGAAAGAGAAAAGCTGTGTGCTGGCAGCCAGGAGGCAGGCTGGCAGAATGTGTCCTTTGGTTGTTTAAATGATTATATACTCCTGTTTTTGTGTATATCGCCCCCTGAAAAAAACAAAACAAAACAAAAATAGAGGGAATAGAAGCAAATGCTGTTGAATGATGATGCACAGAGGAGGTTGTAATCATTGTAATGAAATGATGAGTGTAAAACTGAAAGAAAAAAAAAAAAAAAAGGAAATGACAATAGCAAAACTTTTTTTTAAGGCATCCCTTCCTGTTTTTGTTGTTAAGTGCCAGTAAGTTGGTTCCGACTCATATCGACCCTGAATAGGGTTTCTGAGGAGTGACTGGTAAATTTGAAACGCTGATCTTGCGGTTCAAACCTACCTTGTGGTCCAGTGCATATTCCCACAGAGCCATACCAGGACTAAGTGGTGGTGGTGGTTATGTGCTGTGGAGTCGACCAACTCATAGCAACCCTGCACAGGGTTTCTGCAGCTGTAAATCTTTACGGGAGCAGAGAACCTCATTTTTCTCCTGCAGAACAGCTGGTAGTTTCGAACTGCTGACCTGGCAGTTTGCAGCCTGATTGGTAACCACTATGCTACCAGAGCTCCTTATTAGTGTTTAATAATTGGGGGGAGGGGAGGGGCGGGCCTAGAAGAAAAGAAGAGACTGAAACCCTTCTTTATACTTGCAAGTATTTCCTTTGTTACTATAATTCAGTTAAGTCCTGATCTCTACTGCTGTGCCCTTTCAAATGTCAGTGAATTTGTGACAAAATTTTATTCTGAAAATTTCTCTTCTCTTGTTAGCTTAAAGGCTGAGACATTTCTATATTTTTTTCATTTGTACAGTAAGTTGGGGTAAGGTAAATCTGTGCATGCCTTTTTTATGAAAAGTACTCTCTAGGTTAGAGGAATCTAGTTCTACGGTATCTATCAATTGGTTCTGGTATATTAAAATCTAATTTTAATTATCCTAAAGACTCAACTACACATATACTATAAGTTTATGCCTATATCTAACAGTTTCTAAAATTGTTTCAAAGATAATATTGATTTAATCAATTTCACATAGCAAGTGTTCACAAACGTGTACTAGATTGGTTCTCCTGTAGTAATACTGAGTTGACTCTGGTTTGTCCCTTAGGGAGGTGTATGCAAATGGGTATATGAACTTAAACTTTTATATCTTAACAAGAGTTCCTGTCACACACAAAATCAGTAGTCAGCTACTTTTCTTCATGATGGGAGAGCTTTCATTAAGATTCTTTGCAGAATTGGGTGGAGACAAGATATCTACTCCCAAGAGATACACTTAATGAGACTTTCCAGTAAGGGGAGAAAAAGCCATTCAATAATATGAAAGTGGGGGAAAAATATCTATATTTATGTGCCCTCACTATAAGATTACACTTATGCATGTGCATGTGGCGTTTATGTACCGGGATATACCGAAAACTGCCTCTGAACAACGGACTGAGAGAGTTTTACTTCACAGTGGGCTGTAGAGTGGATTACTATTTAAAATGGGAGAGGAGTGTCTTCTTTTCATTTTATTTTACAAATTTCAGAATTCTACAACGTTTGGCAGGAGGAAGATGAGAAAGCCTTCTAAAAGTCTTACTGTTTCTTGCAATAGGTATACTTGGTGAAGAACATAGCAGTCACCTGTGTCTGTAGAATAGACTCGGAAGCTCTTATCCCAGAAGCCACAGATGAGAACGTAGCGGTTGTCGGAAGTGATGACAAAGCACTGGGAATGGACTTGAATGCTCTGGTCCAAAAGGTCAGTGATTTGCCTCCTGTGCATTCCTGTGTTGCTGGCTGTGAGAATAAGAAAGAAAAATAATAAAACACAAAACTACTAAACCCACCTGGACAAAGAAGTCCGATGTTTTCTCATACTTGGGGTATAGGAGGCATGTTCTAGTAAATATTTGACCTTTTACTTCAAATATAATGATATTTGAAAAACTAAATAGGAAAATACATTCAACTGTTAGAAGAATGTGGTTAGCCAAATTCTCAGTAAAAAAAAAAATTTTGCCTAGAGGAAAGAAACAGCATATTAAAATTTAAAAACAGTACTACAATTCATAGACCGTGCATTCTAGCTCTTGGGCAGGACCAAACTAGATTATAATCTCCAGATTGCATCACAGTTAGGGTTGTGTTTCTGACAATCTCATTACATCTATTGTCATGAGAATGGATTCATGTTGTGACAATCTATTACCTTTAACATTTTGTCACAGGAAGAGATATTAGAATTTAAATGTCATATATTTGAAATACTGTAGCATCTTGTACTGCTTTGGCTTTAATGGGTCTTTAATTTGACTAGATGTGAACTCCCATTTCCCCTGTTTACAACTGCACTTGCATGTAGGGAAAGGGTAGAATGACTACTTATTAAAGATACTTGTAATTGGAAAAGTCAAACACAGCATACTGCCACTTTCTTACTCCTTATTTAAGCAATAAAACAAGACAGCCTGGCAGTGTGTTTTCAGGATGCTGCAGAGGGACAGCGATGGGGTTTGTCAGGAGGCACAAGGTCAGACACAGTGCGACACCAAGGCACCTAGGAAGAGTAATAATCCTCTAGAAAGACACTATCAATGTGCCGTTAACAGAAATGGAATTTCTACCAAGATGCCTGCGTTGGCATTATGAGACCAGTCAAGCAGAAAGCTTTGTTTTTTTTGTGATCTAAGGGTTATTTTACCACTGACTTCCCAATACAAATCATGGTTCTTCTGTTGCTAAAGAAACTTGATGTATGGCCAATTAGAACAAATAAATTTCTGTATTTGATTATTAAGCTCTTTATATTCACAGTCTTCAGTTTTCTGAAAACAAAAGAAAACCACCACCACCAAGAAAACTACCTATAAATGCATTACTAAAAACAAAACTGAAATAGACAAATATCTATATGAGTTAATAAATACACTTTGGTAGTGTAGTGGTTACGAATCTGGCTGCTAACCTCAGGGTCAGCAGTTCAAAACTGCCAGCTGTTCCGTGGGAGAAAGATGAGGCTTTCTGTTCCCGTAAAGATTTACAGCCTTGGAAACCCTGTACAGGGTCGCTATGAGTCAGAACCAACCACGGCACATAACAACCACAAAAAATATAATAACTAAGCTATTGTTGGCAATTTAATAGAAGGGTTAGGAAGTAATATGGAAGGAAAAAATTATTCAAAATATGTACTCTCCAGTGCTGCGCTGGGAACGCTGGGGATACAGAGGAATAGAATCTTCCTGGCATACACAACATGGCACACACAGACAACGCGGCTTCAAAGAGTTTGTGGAAACTTCCATTCTCTTTTCATTACTTTTTTTTTTTTTTCACACCAACTTTCTGAAGCCCCTTTATACACATGTATGTGAAATACTAATCTGTACAATTCAGCTAGTGTCTGACATCATTTAATCTAAGATTATGACATAACTTTGTTAATGTGGGCTTCCTAAATTTGGGGGTGGTGGATTAATGGAGTTCTGGTGTGGTACTGTGGGTCAATGCACTAGACATCAAGGTCAGTTTGAACCACAAGGTTGGTGGTTCAAGCTCACCAGCTGCTCTTCTTACAACTTAACAACCACAACAACAATGGGCTAAAGGGAGTCCTGGTGCGGCACTGTGGGTTAATGCACTAGACTGCAGGGTTGGTGGTTTAAGCTCACCAGATACTTCTCGGATACCCTACACAGTGTTGCTGCGGGTCAGAACTGACTCGACGGCACTTAACAACAATGGGCTAAAGAGTGATAACAATAATAAAAGGGCAGAATTCTATTTGGTGGTCAGTTTTTACCCTCCTTCTGTACAAAAGGAAGTTGATGTGCTGGCAGATGAGAAAACCTCCTATGGGTATCACAGAGAGATATTTAGATTTGGTATCTCACTGTGGTGAAACTATGTTTTTAAAATATATATGTAGAATATTTATGAGGGGGCTTCAAAAACTTCAATAAAAAATTCCATGATCTTTTCATTCCATTTGTTCACAAATTTATTGAAGACCTCTTGTGTGTGTGTATAAATATATATGTGTGAATATATGTTTTTGTTGTTAAGTGCCATTGAGTTGGTTCCAACTCATAAGGACCCTGTATAGGGTTTCCTAGGCTGTAAGTCTTTGTAGGAGCAAAAAGTCTCATCTTTCTCCCATGGAGCAGTTGGTGGTCTCGAACTGCTGGCCTTGTGGTTTGAAGTCCAGTGTTTGGTGTACACAGCCACTGCACTATCAAAATCTGTATGCATGTATGTGTCTGGGTACACAAACACGAATCTGTATTTAGTTCAGCTAAATCTAGCAGTAAAAAAACAGTGTATGTGGTGCTTTTCACACTGTTATTACAGAAAGTCATTCCACATGAGAACAGTGAAAATGGTTGACTTTTGCTCCTTTGATATAAACTTTCACTGATCATTTTTTGAATATTCACTTCGGAGGAGCTACCTAAACAGATCTGGGCATGTGCATGCTTTTGAATTAAGTAAACCACAAGTACTCATGGGTAAAGGGTGATGCCTCTTAAGCTAGCATTCAGATGAATTTTTTCAAGTAAATGCTTACATGTAACTTAACACTGTATACCCTTCTTAAAAATAGCAGCCAACAACAACAAAATAAAAAAATAAAACTAAATAAACTATCTAGCTCACAACTGCCTTTCCATTTATCTCACTGTTTTCTCTGGTAAACTGTTTGGGAGTCAGTACTAAAAGTATTTTAATTCAATGAAAATTAGGTATATTTGTCTAGATAAGCAGTCTTCAAACTGGGGCAAGCATACCCTTGGGGGTACAAGATGTCCCAAGGGATACACAGGCACAGATGGTTTTAAAAGAATCAATCTCTAGTCTCTACTTTCATATGTTCTCTTGCCTAAAATTGATTTGCCTGAGAACTCTCTTGTGAGTTTTCCTTTCCTACTCCCCCTTTCACGTGTCCTTCTTCCACTAGATAGAATAAAGCCATGTTTCCCTCCCATCCAGAATCTTCTATGGTGCTTTGCTTCAGGGCGTAAAAATCTCTTGGGAGCCAAATAAAGGAACAATTCAAAATACTGATGGGATGTAAAAGATGTGAATCATCTAGGCACCAAATCATTTTGCAGGTCAGGTGGTTTCTAATTCATTATTTTCAATAAAATTAAAGGAGGATCTATCTAATCATGTCAATTGGTAAATCATTAAAAATAAGGTCCAATGATAGATTATTAAAATGATAGATAATTCGATGAAGGTCCATAACTTTTTAAATAGATTGTGATGTGAATTTTGTCACCTAATTCAGAAGGAAATCAAAGATTTTTGTGACATTGCTAAAACAAAATTCTTGCCTTTACAATTACTTTCTTATGTGAACAAGGTTCCTCAATGCTCCCATCTATAGACACAAAAGAAATAGGATAGGACCTACAACAAATCCTGTGTCACTCAGCAATAAATAATGCTCATCTATGAAAGGTCAATGGTTCAAACCCACCAAGCGCTCCTTAGAAACCCTACAGAGAGTTGCTATGAATTGGAACTGACTACATTGCATGTAACAACAACAAAATAACACATGAGCTAAATGGGGGTGGATGGGATAGGGAAGACTCATACATTTTATTAAAGATGTTTTTTCAATAAACATTTGCTTTTGATGTTTGATAAATATTTTATTAAAAATTACTATAGTTTTTGAGTTGTTAAGTGCCAATGACTCAGTTCTGATACACAGTGACCCTGTGTCAAAGGAGCAGCTGGTGGGTTTGAACTGCAATTTTGTGGCTCAATCTGACCTTGCAGTTCAGTGCATTATCCTGCAACACGACATCAAGACTCCAGTTTTTGAGCTAAGTATTTATTATTTGTAATGGTCACTCAATCCAGTTGAGTCTACAGCCATAGAAAATTTTAAATTTACATATATATGTTTAATTTTCTATACATATTTTTTTTTCAGAAAAGCATATGCAATCTATAAAAAATATTAAGATAAAATTATGTGGGGGAACCAAAAACAAAATATGAATTCAAGATGAAAGAGTAATGCAACATTTTCAACTGTTGAGGGCTTTTTAATGCATTAAAAATTAATAAAATGTTGAGGATCAATTCACTCTTATCTCCTGGCTACACTGGATACATTTTGAAGAGTAAAATAACACTTCCTTTAAGATGTCAACTTTCACATGATGCCCAACATAACTGTTGCAGTGATTTGATTTTGTGATGAAAACTTTTAAGTGTAACTTAAAAAAATTTGAGAAGGTACACTGTTTTAGGCAATTATTTTAGGAAGGATAGCTACACAAAGTCGACTGGTAAGTGGTTTAGAGCAGAGGTCAAACTCTGCCTGCATGGTTTTGTATACTAAGTTATACTGAACAAAGCCATGCTCATTTGCCTATGTAAAGTCTATAGCTGCTTTTGTGCTTAATGGTAGAGGTGAGTACCTGAAACAAAGACCACATGGCTCACAAAGCCTAAAATAGTTCCTATCTGCCCCTTTACAGAAAAAGTTTATCAGCACCTGGTCTAAAAACACTATAACTGCTATATGTCTTTAATAAGATATTTTTTGTCAAGTTTTAAAGAAAATAATGAGTCTAAAATTTAGAAATAGTTCTTTAAATGATTAGCAGATCGGCTTTTATTATATTCATGATTTTTATTATTTTACCCAACTGAGCACTTAATAAAAT